AGGACAGAGCCCTGGCTAGGATGTTCTGTTTCCCAATGTCACAGTGACTCCACAAGGTCCTTATAAGGCTCCCCTGCACATGACAGCTCTGAACAAAAACCTCTGTGGCAAAACCATGGTAGCAAAAAGCTCCAGCAGAAGCTGAGTGTCTTATACATCACCCCACTTCTTGTGGGACTTCTTAGGGACCATCAGCCCTTCCTGATGGGCACCCATAACATGGCACTGAAATCCAGGAGCCAGGTTCAGACACTGACAGCACAAATCAACAGTGCAGAAGGCAGAGCCTAGCCAGGTTCCTCGCTGCGCTGGCTCCAGCACACCAGCTGGGCTGCACCTCTTTCCCCTGAGATCTCCAGGGAACACACACCAAAGCTCTGTGCTGCTGGGGTGACACTGCTGCCCACTTGTCAGCTAACCAGTTTCAGACCCATCCTGGTGAATGCTCTGGCTGTAATACGGAGGTTTCCTAGATTTCCTATCAGAGAAAGATAAGAAACTGCAACAAACAAACAGATTTCCCAACTCACCAGGGTGACTCCTTTCTAAAGGATTATTCAGGATCTGTCATCAATTTACTGCCCGCCTCTATCTGTCTCAATTGTGCATGATTACTTTGTTTAGTTTTGCTGACATTTGTGTTTTGTTTAAGGGTCTCTTTGTGCAATCTTTTGTGCCTGCTTTAAATAAACACTTCCTGTGCTTGTAGCAGCATGCTTGGGTTCAGCAAGATGTCTATCACTTAATAACCAAATGAAAAGTTTAATCACCCAAAAGCTAGCTTTCAACCTGCAGTTAACAAAACAGAAAAGCTAAAAATGTTCCATATGCATTTTTCTTTCTATTTCTTCTTTTATCACATTTGCTAGTCCAAGCAAGTTTGGTGTTGTGCATTTAGTCCTCTAAATATCAGCTTAGCATGGAAACAGGCAGCATTTATTCTTACTTTGCAGTCAGAATCAGTCCAATAAAGTAAAACAATTACTCATTGCAGTCGTTCAAAAAAATAGTTGTTTTTTGTTACTAATAACTGAGAATGGATGAAACAGAAAGAATGTACACTAATGGCTTGCTGAACACATCACCAGCAGAAAATTGGGCAAAAATATCTGAGCAAAACATGACATGGAAACCAAACAAGAAAATACAAGTCATGCCAAGGTGTCATTTTTACAAAGTGACTTTTTTAAAAAACCAGAGAGACAAGTTAATGTCCCAATATGGGACAATAAAGCCATGTTAAAAACACTTGCCATTAACAGCCATCTGCTCTCTGCAATTTGGGGGCAATTTTTATGTACGGCTGACAGCTTTGCATCATCTTTCCTCCTTCGTGAATGATTGTCTCTGCCTCTAGAGTACAAAGCCTCTGAGAAGCAGGATCTGTCCATTACATTGTGGCTTTCAATAAGCTTGTGCTGCTAATAAACATGTAGCATTCTGCACTGGATTTCATAACAGAAATCCAACATTAGATTTGAAAATATATATATATGCTAATAATATTCCAGTTCTCTCTAATAATATTCTGCTCATGTCAGCATTGCCTGTAAAAATCAAGAGGCAAAGTGTGCTCACTGCCCTTGACATATTGTGATGGTAAGAAAAATCAAGACTGCTTTCTCACTGTTCTCTGAGTATGAGGATAGATCTCTGCTTAAGCCTATCTTTCTTGATCAGAATGTCTCTGGTGTCCTTACGCCTTTTCCTCCTGTTTGAACTTGTCTCTTCAGAATATTTAGTAAATACAATTCATGTTCACACCTAAAGTAAAGCTACCTTCTTTTGTTTTGTTACATGTTAGAAGTCTTAAAACACACACAAACGGCAGGGTCACACTTCCCTCATTTACAGTCCTTGCAAAGAACACTTACGTAAGAAAAGTGCAGAGAAAACTAAAATTGTATTAACATTCAAATCATACTCTTACTACCATTTCCATTCCTCAGATCTGATGTAATTTTAATATACATTAGGAATAAGACCAGAAAAAAAGAAAGTGATGCAGCTAAAAGTGATTTGCCTATTGCCTTGTAGTGCTTCCTTCAATACACAAGAGATGGTGGTCAGATTCTTTGACCAAACCCAGCTAAGCCCCATAGTTGTATCCCACAACCAACCGCCCTTTAAACACCAGGCACATTTATAGAGTATCTAAATAGACTACAGAAAACAGTCAAAACCTCTTTGTACGGTTATGAGCTGTTGATGGAGCTACACTCAACTGGATCCTATTCCAAACATCCCAAAGTTAAGGGGTTGGTTTTCATGCACTTGAACAAAAAAAGGACAATTTTCATAATCATTATTCAGGGTCAAGGTACAAACATCTTCAGCTACCAAAAACAGTCTTGACTGTTGGTTCATTTGCACCCAGTACTTTTTCCTCTGAAAGAAAACACATCTGCTTAAACATGTTGAGTAGGAATTTAGACTTGTATGTACACACTCTAGGTCTATTTTTGAACTGAATTTTCTTCATCTTGTAGCAAACTACAAAATGGGATCCACATCATTGTGCTGTTTTTGTTTCATGCCCTCAACTTTCTTACACTTGGGTCTGATCCAAACCCAGAATTATAACAATGGAAAGACATGCAACTTTGACTTGAACTGGCTCCAGATCAGTATTAGGATCTAGTATTTTTTCTTCTGTGTCATACCTGAACCTTCGTTCGGATGACCTAAGAGGAACTTTCAGGAGATAATTCTCCATGCAAACTGGGAGCCTGGTGTTCAACAACTGTGAAGCAGACACAGTATTACTGCCTGTCATATCACTGAGAAGATATATAGCTTAACTACAGCACACATCTTAGAGCTGAACCTTTCTTCAGGTAGGTTTTTTGTTTCACTGGAAAAACAGCCATTCCTGTGGAACAATCCATCACACATCTCACCCCTGAGCGGTATTGCAAAAGTACTGCAAATGCTTCTGAATCATGACAACACCACTCCATAAGGTCCTCTTTATGAATATTTTACACTCCTAACTCTGCTTACAAGAACAAGCCTTACCAAGATTCAATCATTTCAGGTAAGCTCTTATTCTCTTACCGCTTTGCTAAGGGTTCTGCAGTAGCCAGTTTCACAGGGTGAGATTATCATCACATCGCTGCCGCTCAGCACGACACTCTGCAGCTCCCAAGTGCTCCTAAAGCATATCCATCATTTAATCTCCATGCTGGATTTCCTTAGCTCCTGCACTGTACATGATCACAGGATTCCCAGCACCCCTGCATTTGCTCTGAAGTCTATCAATGTTTTCCTCGTACGGTTGAGCCCCACATGAATTCCAGTTAATGGGAGTGAGCACCATTACTGTAATTGCTCTGTGCTCTTATATGGCAGACATTGAGTCACACCATTTTCTGTTTAAGAACTGAAGGTGGTTTCAGCCCTGGTGCTTTCCCCCACCTAATCACCAGTATAACCTTGGCCTCTGTTGGGCTGATCCCATAGTCAGTACTCACCTACTTACCAATAGGCTGAATGCTAATTACCTTTGGCTTACCTGAATCTCATCCCTGTATTTTTGTGCTTGGGGCATCTACCACAGCTTCTAAAGCATAAATCACGTAATTAAGGTTTCATTTTTTTCTGTCTCCTCCCCAACTCAAATTTTTTTCAAATAGCTACCAAATCTACCTTAAGACCACCTTTCTCCATATTGTTTCCCTGCCTGTCTTGTTTTCCCTAAATGTTGTAGTGCACTTCCTATAATTTTGTTTCCTTTGAAACATTTTCATTCAGAACAAAAGGAAATTTGTGCTTTGCATGTCTGTGAGCATGGAGTAAATAAGAATCATGCATGTGTTTCACATTAGACTGCTATGAGTATTTATTTAGTCATCCATTCTAGCAATCCATATATCTTACTTCCTTAGGTCTCTTATTAACTATCCACTAGAACTGAAGGACTCACTACTTTTCACTGATGAAAATTACGTATTGTGTTTTAGTGTACCATTCAGTTCCTGTCTCCCACTCAAATCAGAAACATCAAAAACTATTTTTTACTAGATTTGCAGCACATAGAATATTTCAAATGCCTTCGCAAAGCCCCAAATGAGGAGAACAGCTGGTACAGGCAAACCATTTAGATTTTGCAAAAAGCTTATCAGCTAAGCTGTGATTCTGCAGAATAAAACAGATCTGAAGTCCATTGAACCTAGACAGAATACCCTCTGCAGTTTGAGATAGCTGACTCATATTTGGCCCTTTTCTAGATAGAATTCTAAGTGTATGAATGACTGAATTGGCTTAAAAAGCTAACTTCAACCCACGTCTTCCCCCAGAATTAATCTCAGAGTTTAAATGTCTATTTTTCCTGAGATTTTCTTACTGTTCTCATCAGCTTCTTCCTGTGGGGCCTGCAAACACACTCCAGGAAAGAAGCTTGCCAGGATATAAAAGAAATCTCACGAGAAATTCTGTTGTTGGTTCATTTCCAGGAAAATTCTGCAGCCTCAAGACATACAAGTAAATTTCTCCAAACTGGGGAGACAATACCTGTGATATCTCCAACAGCAACAGTGATCACTTCCTGAAAGTTGCTCTTAATAGTCTCATTTGTCAGTCCCTGCTTGGATGTGAAAATGTCATTTCCAGTCTGAGCAGCACAGTCATAACCAAAACTTAATCTAAAATAATGTATTTGTTTTGAGTTCTACCGAGAGCTGCAGACAGCTTGCTTAGAATTTAAAGAAAATTAGAGGAAGAAAAGAGTTTACTCTTCCTCCTTCCTTTATTTTCTTGGGCATAAGACCCAGGTGTTTGTAGATGTAGCAGAAACTGGTTGTTCTGCTTGGGCCACAGTCTGTGGTTTCATCAACCTAATTAGCTCCTGCACTAGGAAGAAGGCATATCTCCTGAGATTGTGTATGGGGACAAATAAGGGCATCAGAATAACCACCATAATAAAGAGAGAATACTTCAGCATAGTCAACCAGAACCTCCAAAGTACTAGCAAAAAGGAAATGGAGAGGACAGAAAGGCACCTGAAATCCAGGAAAGCTTTCCTCAGGACTGAAACTGAAGTTAAATATCTCTGTCAGCTTGTCATCTACAGCTCAGAATGCTCTTCCAACACCAGACTGTCATCTTCCATGTCAATAAGACCTACCTAAAAAAGGCAAAAAAGACCACCAACATTAAAATCAGTCATTATATAAAATCCCCAAGTAGGAACTACAACTCAAGTTTCCCTAATCCTAATACCAAGACATTATCTATCCCCTCATGATCTGTTAGTTTGCCTAACAAATTAGACCATACACAGATATCCTTTTCTGAATCCAGCTGCATCAGGGGTGAGGTTACTGCTCATCTGCCGACATCTGCCCTCGCCACTATCACGACCTGGGTTCAGCTAATAATGTAGATGATACCTGAGGCCAATTACAAAGTACTCCCATGAACAGCTCTCTTGCCCTCATTAAGAATGCTACTGACTTCCTCAGTGCACAGACAGCATGCTCAGCAGAGAGCCCGGCACTCCCACTGCGTGCTACACGTGCTACAAACATTGGCCAAAGTAGGCTCCTCAGGGGAGGCAGATGGGGGAATTCCACTGCCTACTCCTGATTGCATTTGGGTAAGTCCTGGGCAGTAGACTGCTCTGATTTGGAGCTTTCTAGATGTTTTCAGTGCACGTTTACAAGCAGCTCAGGAATGTCGGTACAAAAAACTCATTCATGAAACTGAGGCAGCTCTAGGGACAGGCAACTGAGCTGGATTGGAGTTTTTTCTTTTTATTTAAATCCATCTTTAGGCACTGACGCCTATTATAAAATCTAGTTCCAAATCACACACCTTATCTACTATACTTGGGAATGGTAAGAGAAATGCTTCCTTGTTCAGTATTCTTAAGCTATTTGCATAAAATACATGCTAAGTAATTCAGGAGGCTGATTTGTAAAAGATTAAGTCTTTACAAATAAGAAAGGCTAGAAATAGAATTCATGGAACGCAGAGTCCCCCAGTTTTTCTGCTGTTGAGCCTCAAGTACTCTTTTTTAATTATTACTATTCAAGGAAGAAAGGGATTTTCATCCCATGTTTCAGAACACATCCCCCGGATACACACACACACCTTAGGCAAACAAACTCATGATTTTCTATATATGAAAAATTTTCTTGTCTTTAGTTGGTGATTTTTGCCCAGTTGCTAGCCTAAGTGTAATCCATAATTTTATTTTCAGTGGTCATAAGACAGCATTCCCAATCGTAGTACAATTAACATCTGACCTAGTGTCCACTGAAATCACAAGAAAAAAGCCCTCTGACTTCAGTGGGTTGGGGAACTAAGCAGATAGCAAAATGCCGTGCATCTATTTGCTGACCAAATCCTAGCAGTTTCAAATACAGTTTACTTCAGGGGTTAATTTTATAATGAGTTATAGAAGGTTAAATCCTTGATACACTCAAAGAAAGGCAGCATATCCAGACCAACCAAACCACACAAGAGTTCTGATTTATGAACTATAAACTAGCATGTCCAAAGAGCTTGCTGAATAAAGACAAAAATGCCAGCCTTTTACACTCTCTTTTAACGTCTTCAAAATGAGTTTTTGTCATTTTATAGTGGGATAACTATTGAGTTCACCAGGTCAGAGAACCATATGAAGTGGCCGACCTAACCCTAACTACTGTAGCCCACGGTCACAAACACATAGCTTCAGCAACTGAAAGCAGCTTGTGTGCGATTCCCAGCGAGAAGTTCATCACAATTTCGCAGGCCCCCTGCTCTTGATTGTCTCTTTGTAACCTGGATCTTTGCAAAGTGTAGTAATCACATTTCAACAATAAAACTTCTAGAGGTAATTTGATTTTACACTGCCAGCCAGCACTTCTTTGCTAATACTTATGCATTACGTATATGTCTGAGAACATTAGCACTCAGATAATTAACTCTTCTGCTGGGTGTCCAGTTTACTCTCTTCAGTGAAAGCACACTGCTCCCACAGAGACATGCCTTGCATATAAGCAAATGTAATCCATAAATCTCTTATGTGGTCAGTAAATTAAAATCTAGGTTGTAGCAGTTACATTAATTCCCTTTTCCCTCTTTTTTTTTTTTTTTTCTTCTTTTTTTGGCACTTTCTAGCAAAACAGTTCACATACAATCACTCAATGGCTGGAAAGTAGGCTTGGCAGAAGGAGCCAAGGCTCAGCATGGCTCCAGTCAAGACAAATGGCTGAATTATTGTGACGTTAGTAAACAGGTAATTAGTTTTGCATGTCATTGTTCACCATCTCAAGCTCATTACCAAAGTCTTACAACACTCTCTTTAAAAATTCAGACCTGTTTGACCTGCTACCAGCTAGAGTGCATTTCAAGCACTCATGGATAAAGTACAATCTTGTCAAACTGAAGACACCTGCTCCCAGCAGGAGCACTACTTATGAACTGCCAAGTCTTTTGTTACAGTACCTTGAGATGCAATGATCTTTCCATCTGGAATAACCAGTATCAACTTGGCTGCAACCACTGCAGAGCAATCTTTTTGAATATTTATTACCACATGAAGTACATAAAGGTATAAAAGCAGGATGTACACAAACGCAAAAAGGGAGAAGAGTATTCATGATAACTTTTGCTATTTGCCACACAAGCTTTTGAAATTAATTTTCTTTGGAAACCAACTCCTGGCAACAACTTTCAATTCCTTTTTTTCTCTACCACCAGGTCTGTTAGAGTGAAGCTCACCCCTGTATGTAACATTTCACAGGTGACAAAATTAACCATTTCTCTTTGCCTAGGTTTTTGCTTGATCTTATTTGTTCACCTATTCATTCTCCTGGATAGTGGACTGTGTTCCTCAGTTTACCTTCAGATTAACAGTTGCATTTAATCCGTTTTCTTCCAGGAAAAGCACTAGCACTGGATAATTCTTCCCTCCATGTCTTTATTTTGTGAGAGTACAAGTGGCAATACTTTTTAGTACTGTGCTCATATAAAAATCCAGCAAAAGCACAGTCTAGGGCTTGGGTGAAGGTATCATAGAATTCAGGTCTATTTCCAGCATTTTCTTTGCCTCAGCGCCTTCCACAAGGGCAATGAAAAGCCTGATTAGGAGTTCTGTGCTCCTCAGCCTTCCGAAGGCAGATAATTTCAACAACACATTCCTTGCTATATTCTCCGCCCTTAAGAGACCTCAATGAGCAAAGTCCATTCTGCAGAAGTTAATCATATATATGCAAATGTTGCATTTAGAATTTGGAGCCCACTGTAAGCCCATTTTTCTTGAGCTGTTATTTTAAAATGTGCTTTAAATCAATTTTGCAGTAAAGATGGGGTATGTTTCAGTAACAACCATTTTTCTCCTGATTAGTAAATTACTGTTGTTTCCAATGTTTCATTCTAACTACTACTTGCTCAGAGTCACAGGAAAACAGAGCACTTAGTCAAGACAAACTTCCCTTTATTTCCATCTCAGCAAAGCACGGTCTAGATTACTTTTGGAAAAACAGTTTTCAGCTGACAAAGTGAAAAATGTTGCATAACGGCAAACTTATAACATGGTAAGAAAGTTTTAATAGAAGGATTACCACTTTCTGTTGTAACTAGTTTAAAAGTCCTTTAAGACTTTCTGCTAAGAACAGATGATTATATTTGCAGTATTTATGTAATTTCTATTGGCTGGCTGTGTAATAATTTATGAAAGTTGTGACAGCACAGTGCTTTAATACAGATTCAACTATATTGAGGGAGGAAAATACAGCAAAATGCCAGTGTGCTACACAGAATACCAATCCCAGGATCATGTAGAATTTTAAAACAATTCAGTTTGAAAATACAAATTGTGTTTTCCCAACCATTGGACAATCTCAAGCACATATATTCCTGTGTGGGTTTGTATTACGTTTATGTCTACATGATGCTATCTGTATTTCAGACCCCCATTATACAGGCTTAGGAAGATGCAAGCAAGACATTCATATCATCCTCATTCAGAGGCAACATATATCCTTAATGTTATATCATTGTGCATTCGGCATGAGCCGTGTGTCTTAAGACTGTTATCAGTGCTATTTGTATGCATTTCTATTTGTAAAGCTGGACAATCATAATGCAAGTCTTAGAGGAAGGTGAAGGTTTTAACTTTCTAGTTCATGGCAGAAACGTCCAAAACAACTTCAAACAGTCCATACAGAATGACTGTGATTTTATCAGGGTATTGCAGTGTGGAAAAAAAAAAAAAAAAAAAAAAAAGGAGGTCTGTCCTATTGGGTGCTAGATCACATCTCTTTTCAATGACACTGCTCTCATCTACAAGCCTGATAGGTAAGGGAAATCAGTTTCTCATAGAGGATTTGTATTTAGGTCAGTAATTAGAGGATATGTTAGGTTTTACTTTGGTTTTAAAAAAAGGCCATTTGGGGCTGGTCAAAAATTTTGGTGTCCAGGAGATCAGTAAGCAGATCAGTGAATTGATCAGAAGTAAAACATAAATGCAGCTGATGACAACAATTTCATATTTGTATACCTGCAGATGCACACAAAAATATACATGCGAGCACATAAAACCTGTAGATCTGCCTTTTGCATTTGCAAAGTCCCCATTTTAATTAACATCAACTATAATCGTATGGTAAACTAGGCATAATAACAGTAATTAAGACCTTGGCCTCTTAAAACACGTTAGACACAGACACAAAGGCAAAATCCAATTTGGAGAAATATATGGAGCATTCAAAGGTCGGTATTGAGATTCTATCTAGGATACCTAAATAAACAGGCGAATCAACCCTATTTAACAATGAATGTGTTTTTCTTGAGATCTCAAGAGGATTTCCAATTATTCACAAATGGCTAACCGTGCGCTCCTTTCCCAGAATTATAAACGAGTCACCAGAAAATAGCAAGTTTGACAAAATTGTCCAACAGCCCATTAACTGTACAACTGTGCTAAATAGCCAGAGACAAGTCTAAATCTGCCAGAACCAGTGTCTCTTGAGTCTGCCAAGGGGATAGATATTTCAGCTGCAGAAATATCCATTTGCAGCTTGCCACCATCTGGACCTTGCAAACTAAGTACTGAAGTGATGGGCTGGCACAATCCAGCTCAGGAGTGGTCCTTTAGTTCTCAGGAAAATC